TGCAGGAACTGACAAGAACAAAACAAGTCATCATTGGAAAAGTGAAAGGGGAATCAAACCCCGCTGACTGTTTGACAAAGTATCTCCCAACTGGGGAGGCTGTAAAGAAAGGACAAGAGCTGACAGGCATTGTTAATTTGTGTGAGGAAGGTCTTGATGGACCACGTCCGCAAGACAGCCCTGACAAAGGTCAGTGCAGTCTGTTTTGAAAGAAAGAACAATGTGGAGCACTGGAAGCCAATTTCAGCCTCAAGACTGAGCATTCGGCAGTTCAGTAGCGTTGTCCATAAGCCTTATCAGAGGGAGCTACCTCACTGATCATGGGAGACGCCCTTGTAGTGAGGGATGAGTTTTCGCGTGCTCTGATGCTGTTGGAGCCATGGACCATGGAGTGGTCCATCACGGCGCTTTTAGCTTTCTTCTTGGTGAGCAGTGTAACGCTCAACCTGTTTCTTTCGTGGAAACTTAGAATCCGCAGGCAAAAGTGGCCTGCCATCTTCTTGACGAAGTATGGATCAGTTTACCACACCGATGCCATGTGTGAGCACATGCGCAATGGGTTTAAGGCCCTGCGGCAATGTAAAGTCTGTGCTTACAGGCAGACTGCAGCCTAACAAGGCAAGGCTGCGGGGGGGTGCGCACATAGTACAGTGTTTGTGCAGCCATTCCCTTGTGTTTTCACTTGAGCCCAATACGACCTAACGCAGCCCTTTAGTGGTTCGAAAAAGAAGGGTTTTGCACTCCGCGCACTAGGGTCAGAGGTGCAGACGTTCAGGTCCGTAGAGGTCAGAATCGCTCAAGACGAACGCAAGTTCCAATATGGAGCCTACCCCGACCCCAACTTTTGTGTTGGGGCACGTGAGGTACGTCTTTCCCCATGTTGGAAATCACCGCCGTCGTGATGCAATTTTATATACATATATATGGTATTGATTCTGGTTCTTGCGCATATCACTTGGATGAATCTAACTTGATATGGTTGATGAACTTAGAAATCCTCTTTTGAAAGCGTGCTCCTTCATAGCTTCCTTACCATTTGCGTATGCTATGATCTTCATTCGTTTGCTCTGCTCATAATAAGGAGCTGCAAAATTTTAAGTGTAGGTGGCGCCAATTTTTTCTAGGCACGGCTGCAACATTATGATTTGTCGCCGTTCAAACTGGAGGGGAAATGGCAACCCGACAATCGTAACGTTGGGCATTCTCTGCGGTTCTCAACGTTATGTTTTTTGCTTTGGCGCTTCCGTGTGCAATGTCCTGGCATTTCGGCTGAAAATCGCGTTCTTGTGTAGAAATTGTTTGCTTTCCATTTCAAAATCGCGCTCTTGCGTGGAGCATCTTCACATTCACGTCTGAAATCGGGCTCTCATGTTCGTGTGGGATCTTGTGTGAAGCGTCCATGCACTTTGGCTCGGAGGCATACTCTCGTGCAGGGCGTCCTCTCATGCCAGATAAATATACCCCTATAAACCCTAAACCCTATAGTAGTTTCCATTTTCTTTTCCAGTATCCCAATATAACCCCAATATAGGTTCAAATTACCGTTTCGTGTCATTCGTCCTCATATGTACATCTGAAATCGCACTCTCGTGTGGAGCATCCCCGCATGTTGCTTCAAAATGGTGCTCCCGTGTGGAGCATCTACAAGAGCGGAGTTCTCGGATTGAAGTTGAGAAAAGCGTACATCAAAACAAAAACTTTGCAATGTGCCTCAATAAAAAATCAGTTGGGTGCGATCGAGTTTTGGATTTGTCTTTCTTGCTTGAACCTTGTTCATGTGTGAGCTCCATTGCCTTCGCTGAAGGGGCCGGCCAGGCACTTTCTCGACCACATTTCCAAGTTCAGCAATGGCTTTCGCCCCAAGGCCACCTCAACGTGTATTTTAGATTTTTCGAAGCATCCCTTGTTTCGCCCTGCAAGAGCCCCAGCTCGCGTCTCAGCATGCTGGTTGCCTGTTGTGCCATGATGGAATTTTCAATACTTACTTGCTGCGTACATCGGATAACGCTAGGCTTGCTTGGGCTGATGACAGTTGATGAGCCGTTCGATAATGTGGATCGCACTTCTTACTCTGCCTTCCCAGGCATACGTACAAGGCTAGAAAATACATCAGCACGAAATCAGATTTCACAAAATTGTTGCATTTAAGGAATCTGCATTGCTCTGAACAATCTTACCAAACACAACATGACACAAATTACTTTTCTTGCATCACAAGGGGCCTTTTGACTTTAGTGGGGCAAGCAGCGGAATAGTTTTCCAAAAGCAACGAAGATTGCCACCGAAACTAGCTCACAAAACTAATGAAAACGAAAAAGCTAGCCAACAAAGATGCGCAGAAAGCATATAGAGCGAGATCCGCAAGCTAAGAATGCTTGGTGATGGTTGTGGACAAGCAGCCATTCACCAAGATGTCATGCAAAGTGACACATTTTCTATGACAAGCACGAGCAATAACATTTTTTTCCGTTGTTTCGTTCACAGAGCTCCTGAAGCTCATTGAATGTTTTGCAAGTTCTTGACAGCAGGAGCTGCGTGGATGCTTTCGGCGTGAATTTTTATTAGACATGCTTAATGGAATTTGCAAGATTATCAAGCCGCCTGGGAATAAAGTTGTGTGCGAGCATTGTGATCTTCATGGTGGGCACAGGTCATTATCATGTTTTGGCTGACTTGCATTGTTCTCCACCAAAACATGTTGAAGTTCTGTCAGGAGGATTGTGATTTGCCAATTTCAGGTGCACGTTATGTTTTCAAGTCTCGTCAGAGTGGACAGGTTGCCGCGCAGTGAGGCTTGTAGCTGGACGTACTCTTCCAAGGCTAAGTTTTGAGTCCGGTGTCCTTAGACTGAGTTACTCAGGTTTTTCCGCAAAATTAGGCATGAACAAACAAAATCGATGTGGGACAGATTCAGCCTTGAATATCGAAAGCGTGTTCTATCCTGTGCCCATATCCTTGGCTGCTGAGGTTTTTTGACAATTTGCAGCATTTGTCTCCGGGGTCTGCTTAGCGCTCCATTCAAGTAGGGCAGCCATGGCCACTCAAACGCCTTGCAGCCGAACACGCAAATTGTGCCGAGATGCTCGCTGTGCTCGTGCACAGATGCTGATTTGGGTGGGAAGCAAATTACCGCAGGTGTCTTACGCAGCCGCGTTTTCTCTGCTTATGTTCAGCCTTGCACTGGTTTTTGGCCAGCCTGGGTGTGTTCCGAAACAATTGCAAGTTTGTCCGATTTGTTTGGGCAAACCATTGCGAGGGTTGCGAAGCTTCTGTGGGCTATTGCTTGGCCTTTCTATTTTCATGCCGATGCTGAAGCACCAAATCCTTCCGAAGGTCATCCCTCCCGACCAGTTCGAGCAGGGAGTGTGTTTGGGCAAGTATTATGGGTTCGGTGCTCAAATTCTCTACCACTGCATTCTTGCAACTTGTTTCTTTGCATCAGCATGGAAGCCACTTCCGGGGCTTTGCCACATGGCGACTTTGGCAGAGCCCGCGTACTGCACTTTGGATGTCATGATATTGATTGGCACAGGGACGTCCTTCACACATTGGCAGGCGGGCGGGAGCAGTGGTTCTGTCCATTTGCCGACGTTGTTTATGTTGGTATTCGGGTAGGCGATCGTTTGGCGACCCCTGTCTGTGAGTGCGAATCGCCCAAATTCTCCAGGGTCAAGTCGTAAGGTATGCCCACACCGGTAGATTGCATTCTACCGACCTCAAACAAGTGAGTTTTGTGAGTACCAGCCAAGTCATTCTCGTGCTGGTTTGTCTACAAGTCAAAGTAGTAGGAATAGGAAACAGAAGAAGAGCAGCAGTAATAGATTGGGAATTCAAGGCTAATGTTAGCACAGCAATAACAATACGTGTCCCGATTGGGTTCAAAGTTTAGGGTGGTTCAGTGTTATTTTGTCCCAATATCAACAACGGTGTATCGAAGATGGCTTTTCAACGAGATGGTCGCACTTACTTGTCATGCTTTTCCCAAGCACTCAGGCAATCCAACATTGAACGCTCTAAGCCTTGACGCCGGCTTCCCTTACTTCCTTTGCTAGATTCCGCCCTTCATCAGCGTGATTTAGTTAATTGAGGGTTATGTGGTGGGTGGTGAGCAGAACCTATGATTAACCCTGGCAACAAACACCCCTAAACCTAGACCATAGTCCCTTTACCCCAAGATCATTTCGAGGCGCGGCCACTTCTTGTGCATCATACCATTTCTTGTGCATGCACTCATGCCTTGATGTACCTGGGTTCAGGGTTTAGGGTACATGGTTGCTTCAAGGGTGCACGGGTCGGTTCCCTTGTTAGGGACGAGAGCTCAAAGCCCTAATGACTAGGGTGAAGGGTAGGCTTCAGGGTTTAGGTTGTGCAATTCTGGGGAGGTATGGATCTGGGATGGTAGGGTTTACAATTTCTTCTTTGGAGGGCCGTAGAGCTTCGAAATCCCGAGATTTTCAACCCTAAGCCCCAAAACCTAGGGTTTAGGGTTTAGGAGTTTCAGGCATGGTCCCACTATGCAACCCCATGTTCGAAGCGTACTTGGATGCTTATCAAAGTCATGGACCTTCTTGGGTTGCTTTTGTGATACGGCCCCTTATTCGTGCGTGTGTGCATATATATATATATACACCTATATACACGCATATCTATACAGATACAGTGCCCAAAGAGGCCATACTGTTGACAAGCTATCAACTGAAAGTTAACTCTGATCGTCAAACCCTCAGCTTAAACCCTTTAACCCTGAGACTTGTACTTTCAAACAATCTGAAAAGAAGCGCCTGGCATTAAACTCTCAATCTTGCAAACCCCAAACCTTAAACCCTCAAACCCCGCACTCCATATTCAACCCCAAACCCTGAACCGTAGATTCTGCACTCCATATTCAACCCTAAACCCTAAACTTCCAACCCAAAACCCTAAACCTTAAACCATATTCAAGGTATGGTCTGCCAAACTCGTGGTTTGGGATCCTCCTCCAGTTGGTCTTTCACAGCTCCAGCGCCCTTTGCTTAGGCCTGTGGGCATATAGGGATAATCTATGTTGTATAGGGATAATGGACACGAACATGGAAAGTACTATTTAAGGTTCAGGCTTTAGAGTTTAGGATTTTGTGCGGTTCTTTGATGGGCTGTATGCGGAGTGTATGGGTATAGGGTTTCGATTAAGGATACCGAGTTCAAGGTTTCAACGCCTAGTTCACGATAGTTGCAGCGCCAATTTGATAACGAACCGGTCATTGGGATGCAGAAGGCCCTAAACCCTAAACCTTGATTCCATCAGCCTTAAACCATGAGCCACGTAAGGAGGGATTTCTCGGATTTCAGTAGCCCTACACTACCGAAATTCCCCTAAACCCTACGCCCAAACCCTAAAGTGAAAACTCTCAGCCCTTGACCCCAAACCCTAAACTGAAAACTCCTAAACCCTTGACACCAAACCCTAAACTGAAAGCTCTAAACCCTAAACCCTAAGCCCTAAACCTGAAACTGAAAACTTTGAACCCCAAACCCGAAACCCCAAACCCGAAACCAGGCATCGCCAACATATTGCAAACTCCTTGCCTCCGACTGAGCCCCCAGAGTCGGCTCTCAATGCATCTAGCCAGATATTGATGGCCTACAGTTTTGGGTTTTTTTGGGGGTTATAGGGGTTATACGGGTGATACAGGGGTTATACTATAGGGCTTCTGTAAGGATGATGGAAAAGAACATTGAAACTACTATTTAGGGTTTAAGATGTAGGGTTTGACGCAGGGGTTCAGGCTTGTTGGATTTAGGGTCGAGGGCTAGGGCTGGGTGGATTTATAATGCCATAGTGAGGCCAGCTATGCAAGCGCTTCAAGAGTGTTAGGGGTGTAGACATGTGCGGGGACTGTCGGTGTTTTCCTGGGTTTAGAGTTTGATAGCTCAAAGCTCTAAACCCTAAACCCTGTTGTGTTTGGGAGTTTAGGATTCGTTGTAACCTTGAGGGCACATAGGGATGTGGAGTCAGGCTTCGGGTCTAGCTCAGGGTTTGGTTTGGCAGGTTTAGGGACATTACCTTCATGATGGAGAGCCAAGTGGAAAAGAACATGGAAAATTGAATCGGAACTGGGATTATCTAAGAATGTATCTTAGACTGAAAACCCGTACAGTCTCGCACAGGGACCGTGGTTTGTTTAGCATCAGGTTTACTATTATCTTGACGCCTGGCTGGTTGCTCTCTACAGACATGAAAGTAATGACTGGCTGCATCAGCTTTCATGGTATGCGCGTAGTTGGCTTCAGTAAAACATGAGAATTCCCACAAGGATAGTCTTGGAGACAGCAGATGTTTACTCAGTTTGCCATTGGTGCTTGGCTCTGCAGGGTGAGCTTGCATATCGGAATTGTGTGTCTCATGTCTTACATGGC